GTCATTGCTGCCTTAAAGCTTTGAGGTTCATTTTCTAACAGGTATGTCAGAAGATCTGGACCAAAGGATTTTGATGTTTTCGCTCTCTACTTCGTCTTGGTTCATCATCAGTTAAATACTGTTGGTTGAGACTATTACTAGTCTCTTGTGTTTGATTGTCATTAGTCTCTTGACTTTGTGTACAATTATAAGTTATTTTCTGTGAACTTAATTCCTGTCATTTCTTGTAAGAAAAGACATGTTCAAAAAACACAAGATTCCTTGACTCTATAATAGTGTTCATATTTATATCAGGTATTTCTGATTTATAAGTCAGAAATCGATATGCACTACTAGTCTGAGCATAACCAATAAACACGCAATCTACTGTTTTTGGTCCAATCTTAGTCTTTTAGGAACAAGACTTCAACTTTTGCCAAACACCCCCACACTTTTAAGTATTTGTACGAAGGCGGTCGACATTTCCACAATTTATAAGGAGTGCTGCTTGTTTTCTTGTGGGGTATTCTGTTAAGAACATAATTAACAGACAATATTGTTTCCCCCCACGAGTTCTGTGGTAAGCCTGAACTTAGTAATATGGCATTCATCATTTGTTGTCTATGATGTGCTGGATTCAGAAATTTCAAATCATGATTCATAAATTTCAAATGAAAAATCCAAAATAATTATGACTACACAAATCAGAATTAAAGTTTTGACAAAATCATATCCTCATAAAAATTTTGCTTAAGAATCAAACAATTCAAAAAACCCAATTTGATTGTATACATTCTTGCAACTCATTTACGAATAAATGTCACTGTCATAAAAATATTGGTGACAGAAGAAAATTAAATTATCTCAACTAATGCAAGAGATATACCCCCATATTAATAAAATGATTCATGATTTAACAAATTCTACTACGCAAGTAAAATAATTATTAATGACATCTCATGTCACATAATTCAAAATAAACTAAAAATCAACATAAAAGATTTCTTAAATTTACTTCACAATTAAATGAAACGATATAACTACATACATCTTCATGTTTAAATTTCTCTGATGTTTAAACACCCATTCAAAATTGATTGGAAAAACTCAAATTAATCAACATATCAATTTAACATTCCAAATCACATGAAATTTTTGTTAAGAAATAACTTGAGTTGACATCATACATGCATATCAAACGCATCAACTAAAAATAATGAATTAACAAAATAAATTAATCATGCATGATCCCAAAACTTGCATCATGAAATAAAAAAATTCTCGACTCATAAATAAAATTCAACGCGTTTTGAATTTTAAACTCCAAAATCACAAAATATACCTTCATTTAATCAGTTTGATTTGTACATAAATAAACTAATTAAATATGCATTCAAATGTTCTTGTGAATATATATATTTTCCAACGCATGTGCAGAAACTATTCATGACTACGGATCCACACACAGAAAATAAAGAATGATTCAGAAAACCAATAAAGAAAATAATCTTGCCATAAAGGTTTCTTTCCTTATTACTAAAACTAAAAAAATAAAATACCAAAATAATATCTGATTACAAAAATCAGAAAAAACACAAAATTTTCTAATTACCAAAACCAGAAAATAAATTCTAGTTACTAAAACCAAAAAATAAATAATAACAACAAAATAATTTTATTTTCCCTGTTACTAAAACTAGAAAAATAAAATACCGAAATAATATCTGATTACAAAAATCAGAAAAAAGACAAAATAATTTTTTAGTTACTATAACCAGAAAATAAATTCTAGTTACTAAAACCAAAAAATAAATAATAACAACAAAATAATTTTATTTTCCCTGTTACTAAAACTAGAAAAATAAAATACCAAAATAATTTTCTGTAACACCAAATAATATTCTGCAATTGTTAATGACACCAGTATATTACTACTAGTTGTCAAAGAAAAGAGACAGTATATTACTACTATCTGTCAAATAGCATAAATGACTATTTGTTTTTCCAACCAGAATATTATTTTGAAAACACAGAAAATTAAATACAATGAAGATACCAAAAATAGTCTGTCTTAAGATTGTTGGACAATCTTCATTGTATTTAAAATGATTAAATTCTATTGTGTACAAAACAACAACTAGAATATTAAGAAATAAAGAAAATGAGAGAATTTGTTTGATTACAAAAATCAAACTTGAAATAAAATAAATAAATAAAAACAGATTTTATTTTGTTACAAAAACAAAATTAAAATCCGATTTAAATAAATAAAACAGAATAATAAATTAAACAACTTACTTGATTAATTTCTTTAAATAATTATTAGATCAAGTCCAGTGTTTAACACTGTGTCCTTAAGACAGATTCGTCCTCTCCACGGTACTTTCAGAATTTGGACGTCTATCTCTCAGGATAAAATGATCTACTACAAACAATAACAGCACTACAAATTGTTTGCCTAACGAACACACTAAGTGTTTATACTCTCTCTGACAAGAAAATAATGCATCAAAATGAAGAGGATGTTTGCAGAATTATGAAGGACGAAAATTAGAGTTACAAAATTCAAATGAGGGCTATCCTATTTATAGATGTAATGGTGGCTGTAGGTTTTGAATTGAATAGGTATGAAACCTGTTGGTTTTGAATTCAAATAGATTTGAATATGTTGGATTACAATTCAAACAGATAATAAAAATGGGAAGGGCCCTGTTTGGATGTACGTTAAAAACCAAACTAATTTATTTCGGGAAGGGCCATGTTTGGATGTACCGTAAAACCAAATCAGTTTATTCCGGTTTAATTTGAATTCTGGATTTTATTTTAACAAAATAAAATTAAATTCAAATATTTTTGGCCCAAAAAGATTAATATTGGGCCGAACAAGCCCAACCCAGGCTTCGCCTGGCCAGACGGACGGCGGCGTTGCGCGCATGTGTGGTGATTTTTGGGTCCAATGGGTCTAGCTTATTTTGCCCATAATCTCTCCCACTAAAACACTTGGGTACCCCTTGGGGCACACCCCAAGTACCAAACCCAAGCCTTATAAACCCATTCAAAATTTCCCACCAAATCAATTTGGGACAAGCCATTTTACAATCTTAAGGAATTTTCACCAAAACTCCATTTCTATAGAACACACTTTGGCTTCAATTTCCCATTCACTCGGTAATGGTTTTGAGCAACCAAATATACCACGTGAATCACAACGCGGCATAGAACGCGTTACCATTTTGATCCGTGAAAATCGACGCACGGGACCCACCTAAAAAATAGACCAAACTTAGGAAAAAATTCTGATTTTATCTAGAATTTTATAACCATTTTCAACAGGGAATGCTAATTCAACCTAATCCAATCCGCTCAAATAAACATAGCCTAATATTGCTATATGAATTTAGACTTAATGATCCTGATAGTGACATGAGGTTTGAACACAAATTAAGTGAAGGGTTGTTTTGGGACTTGAATGATCCCAATCATGACATGGGGTTTAAACACAAATTACAAGAGATCTAAGTGAAGGGTTGTTCCCGGTGAATTGAGACTTGAAATGATCCTAATCGTGACACAAGGTTTGAACACAAATTACAGGATATCCAAGCGAAGGGTTGTTTCGGGTGATTTGGGACTAAAAATGATCCTTCATCATCCTTTCCTTTGCCCATAAAACAACATATTCAAATGATCGGCGGGGCTTCAAAGTAGCCAACAACAATGGATGAAATTGGCAGAGTTTTGGGCTTGCGACAACTGTATACCAAAATAAATTGGGCTTCTTTCAACTATATCAAATGCCCACAACACTGAAAGCTTTCTCATTTCACATTAAGGCCAATCCATTTTTTAATTAAAATCATATTGCGGGGACTATTTAGTTCACATCCCATTTAAAGAAAATAAGCAGAGATTGTGACTGCAACCTAACACGAACCTTCAAACTATTAAAAAAAAAAAAAAAACTCTTATACTGTGTTTGGTTGGGGGATTTGAAGAGGAATTTGGAAAGAGAAATGGAAAAGGTAAGTGAAATGTGAATAAAACATGTCTATATTTCACTTAATTTCACACACATTTTTCCTTTCTCTTTCCAAATCTCTCCCCAAATCTCCCAACCAAACACAACATTAAAGGATTGTCTATACAAGTTTAAATGGTCATTACGATTATTTTTATTTTTTGACAAAAGAACAAGTCATAGGAAAATTTTATATTCATATAATAATAAACTTTAACTCAATGCTACAACATCAAAACACCAAATGCCACTGCCTGCCCCAGAAATAATACTAATAAATAGATAAAATCAACTTTGCCCTACTTTTAATCGTACACTACTATTTTTTGGCGATGTATTAACAATACACATTTTGTATTATATTTATAAGATGTGAAGGTCCTTTCTCATCTTATTCTGTGAGAAGAAAAAAAGGTAAGGTAACAACCCTAGCTACCTGCAACAAATTGAAGAGGAGCCCAATTATATCACTCCAAGCGTTCATATAGATATATATATAAGTTGTTACATGCTTAGCAAATGCACATCCGACAATCAACTTATACAGTTGTGTTGAATTTATCTTTTATCTCACATCTGTATCTCATTTTGTGAAAATCATCTGTGCACTTAAACTTACTATAATTTATATTCTGTATCTATGAGTGGCAAAAATGTGAAGGTCCTTTCTCATCTTATTCTATGAGAAGAAAAAAAGGTAAGGTAACAACCCTAGCTACCTGCAACAAATTGAAGAGGAGCCCAATTATATCACTCCAAGCGTTCATATATATATATATATATATAAGTTGTTACATGCTTAGCAAATGCACATCCGACAATCAACTTATACAGTTGTGTTGAATTTATCCTTTATCTCACATCTGTTTCTCATTTTGTGAAAATCATCTATGCACTTAAACTTACTATAATTTATATTCTGTATCTATGAGTGGCAAAATTTAATAAGAAACATGTCAACTTCACAACAAATACAAAATTGAAATAGGCTTGCACAACTTCTATATAATAAGGCCATTTGGTAAATGTCCATCTAGAAAAATACATATGATCATATGAAAGAAGAGAAGGAAGAAGGTGCTCTCGTCATATGGGACTGTGGGAGTCCCTTGTATGATTCCTATGAATTGGCTTCACTTTCTCACCTCATTGATCGGCATATGATGGCGCTGCCGTCTCCCGGTGGGTCAATTCGGTATGATGTCCAGTCAAGACTGGACAGCGGCACCATCACCACCACCACCACCGCCATGAAGATGATGAATTTCCGTGAAGTGGGTATGTTGACCAAATATGCAGAAGGAAAAATGTGGAAGAGAAAGATGATGATCACAAGAGGAAGGAAAGAGAAACAAAACAAGCTCAAGAATGGGTTTTATAGAATTTGTAGTGGGCTTTGTTTCATGGAGAAGCAACAGATATTTGAATGACGAAAAAGAGAGTAAATGAGTTTTGCAATACAGTTCTACAACTGACATATAATCTGATCATAGAATCGGATAGAATCGTTTTTAGATGGAGTGAGATTCACAAATTGTATTTGATTGGATGATTAGATTATGTACACTTAGAATTTAAAGTTGAACAGAGTGAATTTTTGTTTTATGTTTTTTTCAAATTTAAGACTTGATATGGTTTATTATAAGAATGATATTGATGGCATGTGACATGTGCTTTAGGTTTTCATATATTTGATAGATGGAGGCTGCTGAATTATGGTTGATTATTGCTGAAAATGGTATAACTTTGATCAGATTAGAGATGATGCGTTGTTGAGTTGGATCTATTTGGCCTAAGTCGTAACCCATCTTTGCTAGGTGGGTCTTAAGTTTAAAATAATTCATCAAATATTATAGATAGGGCCATAAATGAGCCCATTGAGGTCATGTAGCAAGTTTTTTTAAATTTAGTTTGATATGTTCATAAGTTTTAACATGTGTTTATACTTATTTGTTTATATTTCAACTAATTTGAGATCAGCTAGTTTTTGTAAATAATTCAAACTTGATTCTTTCAAAGCTTGTAAACTTTTTCAAGTTTAAATTGAACTCGGGTCAATTGATTTATATGTATTCTAAGACACTATTAAAAAATTAAACTATTAAAATTCATGATATGTTTAAATGAAACTCATTTGGGGATCAATTCGAAAAATAAATAAACTATATGGAACAACTCATCACTCTCTTTACTTGACCTATTTTCATTACAATTTATTGTCAATGAATCATGATTTTCTATCATGGTTGTCACGGCTTTGTTATAGTAATTCAAGGGTTGAGGTTTAAATTGAAGTAAACAATATCATTTTAAGGTTTTTAATTTTTTTTTATAAATATTTTCATTTTTCTGTAAGGTGTGAGGAAAATAATAACAATATCATGACAAAAATTATGAGAAAGGCCTTTTTTGCCCATTGACACATTACAAGAATTTACACTTTTGGCGATTAAATTTTTAGTCGCTAAAAATTAATTTTTAGTCACCAAAGATTTTCAGCCACTAAATTATTTGGTCGCAGAAGTAGTCGTCAAAGAATTGTCGGTAAAGGTCATTAGCGACTAAAATTATTTTAGTCGTCAAATGTGTTCAATTTCCGACTAAATTTTTAGTCGCCAAAAGGTTGGACATTAAATTAAATTAGTACATTTTCGGCGATCAAACTTTTAGTTGCCTAAAGTCCCACATTTTTAAATACTAAAATTTTAGTTGGCAAAGAGTTATTGTTTTGACTACTAAAAAATTGGTCGCCTAAAGTCCCACATTTTTTGCTACTGAAATTTTAGTCGGCAAAGAGTTCTTGTTTTGGCTACTAAAAAATTGGTCGTCTAAAGTCCCACATTTTTGGCTACTATAATTTTAGTCGGCAAAGAATTCTTGTTTTGGCTACTAAATATTTGGTCGCCTAAAGTCTCACATTTTTTGCTACTAAATTTTTAGTCGACAGAAGTATTTTTATTCTTTAGCTTTTGCTTTTAACTACGAAATATTTTAATCGCCAAATGTTTGATTTTCTTTTGGCCACAAAATTTTTAGTCGCCAAATATCTATTTTTAATTTTTTTTTTGCTACAAAACTTTTAGCCGCCCAAAGTATTTTCTTAATTTCTTTTTAGCTACTAATTGTTTAGTCCCCAAAAACATGATATAAATAAAATGATACATACTATCAATCATTCCACAATCTGCATCTATATACAAAAAATAAATAACTTTAAATGTTAAAATCCATACAAACCAACTATTGTCCAAACTAAAATAATAATTCGATACAAAATATATCATACAAAAATCAAAACCCTCCGTATACAAAAAATACATTTACTACCAAGCGAAATTACCATTTGGCATGGTACAAATTACCATTTGCACCAAGACAAAAGTTTTTCTATAGACCATGACAAAAGGTCATATATGTACGCCGACGAATAGTCATATATATGTACCACGACAGAATGTGATCTATGTACCATAACAAAAGGTCATATATATTCACCGACAAAATGTGATCTATGTACCACGATAGTCATTATCTGTTAATTTCCAAAAAAATTTTGTATCAATAATAGTGAACTACACAAAAGCTGAGGATGACAAAAGTATTATATTAGTTCTATACAAAAGTGAAAATTCTTCTCCATACACCAATATGGATTATCCACAAGTCCACACAACAAAGTCATCCACAAAAAAATAAAAAAATAAAAAAATAAAAAATAAAACATTAGAATTGCTTACAAAATATCAATTTAGTCAGCCATAGGGAACATGTTCTAACATGCATTTAAGGTAGAACAATCGAAAAATGTCTTCTTGAAAATAAAAGAAAGTATATATATAAGTATCATGCAATATTTATTCCAACCAACTGCACAAACGATCTAATATGTAATTTGTGCATCCTATAAATATATAAAGGCAATTATTAGAATATGTAGATGTTATTTTCATAAAGTTGTCGCTCTTTAAACTAAGTGTTACGAGTTTTTTCGACTAAGTGTAAGGCATTTTCGGCTCAAATTCCAAGCCTACGGGTCCTAATTACATTCCTTCAGTTGTCATAGGTCGTAATAGCCACGGGAAAGCAGTCCGTGAGAGCCACACGATGATTCGGGGGCTGTTTTGAACTTTTGCCCCCGAAACGCCGTTTTTCAAGTAAGTTTAAGGCGTATTCAGCTTTGACTCCCAACCTACGGGTCCTAATTACAATCTGTCATTTGTCATAGGTCGTAATTGTCATGGGAAAGCAGTCCGTGAGAGCCACACGGTGGTTGGGGGGCTGTTTTGAATTTTCGCCCTCGGAAAGTTCTTTTTCGAATAAGTTTAAGGCGTATTCGACTCTAACTCTCTACCTACGGGTTCGAATTACATTCTGCTAGTTGTCACAAGCCCTATTTGTCATGGGAAAGTTGTCTATGAGAGTCACACGGTGGTTCGAGGGCTGTTTTGAATTTTTTCCCCCGAAACGTCCTTTTTCGGCTAAGTTAAAGGCGTATTCAGCTCTAACTCTCTACCTACGGGTCCGGATTACATTCCATCAGTTTTCGCAAGTCCTATTTGACATAGGGAAACTATCCGTGTGAACCACATGGTGATTCGGGGGCTATTTTGAATTTTCGTCCTCGAAACGCCATTTTCCGACTAAGTTTAGGGCGTATTCGGCTCTAACTCCCAACCTACGGGTCCGAATTACGTTCCGTCAGTTGTCTTGTCAAGGGAAAGCTGCCCATGAGAGCTACATAGTTGTTCGGGGGCTATTTTGAATTTTCACCCCCGGAATCTCTTTTTTCGAGTAAGTTTAGGGCGTATTCGGCTCTAACTCCCAACCTACAAGTCCAAATTACATTTCATCAGTTGTCATAAGTCCTACTTGTCATGGAAAAACTATCCGTGAGAGTCACAAGGTGGTTTGGGGGCTGTTCTGAATTTTCGCCCCCGGAACGCCCTTTTTCGATTAAGTGTAGGGCGTATTAGGCTCTAACCCCATATCTACAAGTCTGAATTACATTTCATCAGTTGTCACAAGTCTTATTTGTTATGGGGAAATTGTCCGTGAGAGTCACATGGTGGTTCAGGCGCTGTTATGGATTTTTGCCCCCAGAAAGCTTTTTTTCGAGTAAGTTTAAGGCATATTCGGCTCTGACTCTCTACCTACGGGTCTGAATTACATTCCGTCAGTTGTCACAAGTCTTATTTTTCATGGGGAAGCTATTCGTGAGAGTCACACAGTGGTTCGGAGGCTATTTTGAATTTTCACCCCCGAAACGCTCTTTTTCGACTAAGTTTATGGCGTATTAGGCTCTAACTCCCTACCTATGGGCCCGAATTACATTCCGTCAATTGTCACAAGTCCTATTTGTCATGGAGAAACTGTCAATGTAAGCCACACTATAGTTCGAGGGCTGTTTTGAATTTTTGCCCCCGGAACGCCCTTTTTCGACTAAGTTTAGGGCATATTCGGCTCTAACTCCCAACCTACGAGTCCGAATTACATTCCATCAGTTGTCACAAGTCCTATTTTTCATGGGGAATCTTTCCCTGCGAGCCACACGGTGGTTCGGGGGCCTGTTTTGAATTTTCACCCCCGGAACGTCCTTTTTCGAGTAAGTTGCATATTCGACTCTAACTCCTAACCTACGGGTCCAAATTACATTCCGTCAATTGTCACAAGTCCTATTTGTAATGGGGAAGCTGTCCGTGAGAGTCACACGGTGGTTCGGGGGTTGTTTTGAATTTTTGCCCTTGGAACGCCCTTTTTCGAGTAAGTTTAAGGCGTATTCGGCTTTAACTCTCTACCTACGGGTTCGAATTATATTCCGTCAGTTGTCACAAGTCCTATTTGTCATGGAAAAACTGTCTGTGAGAGCCACATGGTGGTTTGGGGCTATTATTTATTGTCGTCCTCAGAAAAGGCTTTTTCGAGTAAGTTTAAGGCGTATTCGGCTTTAACTCTCTACCTACGGATTCGAATTATATTCCGTCAGTTGTCACAAGACCTATTTGTCATGGAAAAACTATCTGTGTGAGCCACACGGTGGTTTGGGGGTTGTTATGAATTTTCGCTTCCGGAAAGCTCGTTTTTGACTAAGTTTAGGGCGTATTTGGCTCTAACTCTCTACCTACGGATCCGAATTACATTCCATCAGTTGTTACAAGTCCTATTAGTGATGGAGAAGTTGTCCATGAGAGTCACACAGTGGTTCGGGGGCTATTTTAAATTTTTGCCCCCGGAACACCCTTTTTCGACTAAGTTTAGGGTGTATTCAGCTCTAACTCCTTACCTACGGGTCCGTGAGAGTCACACAATGGTTCGAGGGCTGTTTTGAATTTTCGCTCCCGAAACGCGCTTTTTCGACTAAGTTTAAGATGTATGCGGCTTTAACTACCTACCTACGGGTCTGAGTTACATTTCGTCAGTTGTCACAAGTCCTATTTATCATGGAAAAACTATTCGTGTGAGCCACACGGTGGTTCGGGGGCTGTTTTGAATTTTTTCCTCCAAAACGCCTTTTTTTGAGTAAGTTTAAGACGTATTCGGCTCTAACTCTCTACTTGCCGATCCGAATTACATTCCGTCAGTTATTAC